ATGTAAGGCAAGGCAAGGCAATGTAATCTGATGTAAGGTAACGTATGGTAATGTAATGTAAGGCAATTCAAGGCAAGACAAAGCAAGGCAAGGCAATGTAATGTAATATAAGGTTACCTAAGGTAATGTAATGTAAGGCAAGGCAAGGCAAGGCAAGGCAACGTAATGTAATGTAAGGTAACGTAAGGTAATGTAATGTAATGCAAGGCAAGTCAAGGAAATGTAATGTAATGTAAGGCAAGGCAAGGCAAGGCAAGGCAAGGCAATGTAATGTAATGTAAGGTTACCTAAGGTTATTTAATGTAAGGCAAAGCTAGGCAATTCAACGCAAGGCAAGGGAAGGCAAGGCAAGGGAAGGCATGGCAAGGTAAAGCAATGTAATGTAATGTAAGGTAACGTAAGGTAATGTAATGAAAGGCAAGGCAAGGAAAGGCAAGGAAAGGCAAGGCAATGTAATGCAAGGTTACGTAAGGTAATGTAATGTAAGGCAAGGCAAGGCAATATAATGTAATGTAATTTACTTAAGGTTAAGGCAAAGACAAGGCAAGGAAATCAATTACAAATTAGTAAATGTCTGCTACACATCTGTGTCTATTTACTTTAAGATGATACATTTTCAAAGCAAATGTTATTAAGGCCTGTCCTCACCTCATTCCTCTTCACATAACATTTTAAGTATTTAGAAGTAACTCTTAAGTTTGGAGATGTGTTCCAACTTAGCGCACTCAGCTGAAGCGTCCAACTTAAGAACACAACGCATTTTGAAATTCTGTGCCCACAAGGTCACATTTTCTTGCAGTATACAGCTTTATGGGCGTAAAACAATTTTCTGAATTCGAGCCTGATTTTAATCGACTGAAATCTACCGACAACTGGGGATGGACTGCGATAGATCGGACTCTATGAGACATTTTTTATTCCACTGTAACACCAGTCTTCTCGATACGTGAATGAAAGAAAGAAATTCTAAGAACTCATTATATAAGAGCCAGTAAACGAGACGTTTCACTGAAAGAGCGCGCTTTCGTGCAAACGAGGTTATGTTGGGGTCTGGAGGAGTCTGCTGTATCTCGCGGAACGAAAGCACAGCCTATAAATATTTAATAGATTTTCAAGGGTTCTGAAGGATATACATCTGTTTTATGAAATACATTAAAGTTTATTGCATATAACTCTCCAATTCAAAATAACATATAACAGTCAAATACTGACCTCAGCAGAAAAAGACCTAAATCGTTTGACATATGTTTGCTAAAAAATAATAACGTATGACACTTGTATGTGCATTGAGCGGCCACCTTTAGTTTTCGTAGCCCATCGCGACTGAGTCATAACGCATAAAACATCGACGGGCCTCAAATTTCACATGTGTTCTTAGATTTACGATTCTGTATTTATTACTCTCGGTTTCATGGTCAAACTACGAAAGTGAATTTCTGTATGAAGACAGATCTTGAAGAAATGCTCCTTGCAGTATGTTATAAGTTAAAATTACAAAGGGCTCCTAGCAACCTAGAACCTCAAATCTTCCATCGTAAAATTCAGTTTCAACGACTCACGTCTAATAAATACAAATTCGGTTATAACGAGATCCGAGAGACTCAGGAAAATTGCTCGTTATAACCATTATTGTAGATTTTCCTGTTACTCACGTCATTGGTTAGTTTGGCGGGCAGTTCTTCTCCCTAGGTCTTATGGTAATCTATAATATAAGAGAAGAAAGAATTAAGAGACTTGGGAGAAAATAAGAACTTCAATATCACGTGCACCCGCATCGTAGGTCATGCTCTGTTCAAACGACGCAGCTGTGTAGCTGAATCATTTTGTCCAAAATATCATAATCATGTTAGCTGATAACCCGTCGGAGATTGAATATGAATTTCTCCTGATTACGAAATCCAGGTTTTACTAGGCAACTTTTGCAAGACTACACGGCTCAACAACCCTGAAGACAGCGATCTTCCAAGTTTTACTCTTACAACGAACCTATTCATCGATCCTATTGGAAGTCCAGCGTCCTGTACTGTCGCTTTACTCCTGGAAACAAAATCATTAGCCTGCAATTACTTATGAGGGTTTACTTATTTAATCTGTGGGTCTGCATTTGGTGAAGAACTTTAGTCGCCTCACACATGAAAAGCTGTTAATTTAATGTGTAGACAACTTATGGGACTCCTTGCATAGGGAATCAGCCCGTCGCAAGTTCTCGACCTACACAGATCAGCACAACATAAATATGAAGAAGAACATAATGTCTCGAGCGGAATTCGAACCCATGATCCCAGTATCCGTTTAAAAGGGCTTAAATAATAACAAACAACATATTTTGTTCAGTATACTTAGTAGAACTTTGGAGACAATTTCAAAATGGAATGTATAATGCTTCACTAACGATGGTGTTAAATTTCTAATTTTGTTATACTTATAAAGGATAAGAAACTGTCACAATGCCATGTCCAAAACTTTGTTATTTTTATAATTATACTCTGAGGAAGAGTCACAGAGATAAGTATGTGTAAATTACGGTGTTTCCCAGTTGTATAAACATTCATTGCATTATAATTATTTTGTCTAATGTTTCTTGTTGGAATCACAATTAACTTTTATCATACAGATATAATTGATTTAAATTCCTCTACTATAGGCCTGCTAGCAGGTCAACTCAAAGAGTTCAGTAGTATATCAGTATGATGCATAACCAGCTGCATCACAAGACACCAGTAAAGCTTAGGAGAATTATGCCTAATCTTTGCATATTCTGTTTTTATGTTCAGAGTTTTATGCTCTGAATCCTTTATCATGTCAAACTACTAATATATAATAAAATAAATTTTGTCTTTGATGCTTAACCCAAGAATATTTAAATTAAGTACCCCAGTATCGTAATGCAATGAACAGTGATAATTATTGTTATTAATTATTGTTATCCTGGTATATGTTAAAAAGCAATATCCTTGAATCCTCTGATATAAAGAATAAACAAATACAATAGACATTTTAATTTTTATCGATAACATGGAAAAATTATGCTGTTCTATAATAAATAAAATATTCTGACTACGAAAATTTGTAACATGCACTTAGGCTATATACGTTTGTAATCAATAAATAAACCTACTTAAAACATTTAATTTATATTTTCTTAATTAAGTCAACATAACCATAGAATATTACAATATAAATATTATTTTGAAGGTAAATATGATTAAATTTCTCAAAAACTGTTTGTGGGGTCTGAGGCGTGGGCCTTGTGCCGCTTGGTCGCTGGAACCGTGGGTTCGAATCCTACTCAAGCCATGGATGTTTGTCCGCGTTTCTCTGTGTTGTACTCTCCTGTGTACAGGTAGAGGCCTTGCGAAGGGCCGATCCCTCGTCCACGGAGTCATAACGAATATCTATAGATCAAGGCAACGAAATGTTTGGACCCACAGTGCTGAGGTACTTTAAGGGTACCGGAAAATGTACAAACAATGGTAAACAGGAAAAATATATATAAAAAACTGTTTGTGATTAAAGCATTTTGGTGTCATTTTTCTACTCTGCGGCAAAACATGCGAGAAACACATCAGCTTACAACTATATTGCTTTAACGTCATCTTCTAATCACTAATGCCATAAAACACTCCTATGAGCACGTTACGTTACGAATATATTTACCTTTATGACAAACTGCGGTGATAATATCGACAGGAAAGTCATGTATTTCTTTTATTCTACATAATTTACAATTCATGAGGCACAGAAAAAAACCCGCTTTACGAATATATAATCGAGTGACCTAAGGAATTCAGAAAGGAGACGCAGAAGAGTCCCAGGTCACGTAAGTAGCCTACACATAATTAAGTACTAAGGGCCTTCATTGCTCGTATTCCTCAATTACTATTAGGGCGGACGAATTAAGGGACAGGAAGTGGATTATGGCATGGGAAGACGTAAGAAACGCATGCATTTTAATTAGAAATAAGACAGGATAGGCGCACTAGCAGCGCAACAAAGGAACGGACTGGTCACCGAGCAACCCTGAAGATGAAAACAGAGATGGTTCTCGAAACGTTTGCAGCAGATTTGGTTTGTTCATGTGGAATCTGAGAATCTTTTTTTGGCCTGTGAACCTGTGACGTTTTTTAAAGAAATTCTTCATGTTTCGAAGAAAGATGTATACACAATGCTGTTGTTTGTATTGGATGTGAGTATCCTTTTTTGGGGAATTCTGACTGTA